GGGACTCCAGGATCATGACCTGAGCCGAAGGCAGTCGCTTAACCAACTGAGCCACCCAGGCGCCCGAGCATCTTTTCAAATGTTTGTTGGTCATCTGAATTAACTTGTATGCATGCCTATTCATCCTTTGCCCATTTAGTGTTGATTCTTTCATCTCAATAATTTGTATACTTTACAGTCCCTGAATACTAATCCTTTTGTGATTACAAGTCTTATCAAACATTTCTTAGTTTGTGGCTTATAACTTGTAGAGTGGCTTATAGTGTTTCTGTCATCTATCTGGATTTTACTTTTTTTGTATGGAATAAAATGGATATTTTTTATTTTTAATCATTTATTGACAAGTCCTTCCATTCCCATACTGATTTATAATGCTACTTTTGATATACACTAACTTCCTACAGATGTGTGGGGTCTGTTTCTGGTCTTTGTAGTCTCTTCTAATAGACTGTTTGTCTTTTCTTGCACCAATATCATACTGTAACAATGAGTACAGCTTTATGATAGATCCTGATTATCTGATAGAAAAAGTACAACTCCTTAATCTTCTTCAAAATTTCCTTTGCTATTTTTTCCATGCCAATTTTGAGATCAGCTTGTCAAATTCTGTATAACCTTAGTAGTATTTGATTAGATAGAGAATTTGGAGTAGAACAGCTTTACAATACTGAAGCTTCCCTTCCATGAACATGGTATAGCTTTCCTTTTATTTAAGTCCTTTACAACTTTCAATAAAGATTTATGCTTTTCTCCATAAAAGTATTATATGTCATTAGATTTACTCTTAGGTGCTCAAAGCTTCCTACTATTATTCTGAATGGGATTATTTTTAAAAATAATTAGACTTCCTCAATTGACTTTTAGTAGTATATAGGAATGTCACTGATTTGGATTTATAAGTAATCTCACTAAACTCTATTTTTCTAAATGACTTATATATAATTTCTATTGAATTTTTTACATAGTCAATCAGATAACTTTGGGCAAATGCACTGGCTGAAAGTACAAAAAGGTGACATTCTTGTTCTGTTCCTAACTCTAAAGGAAATAGGAGTATTTAACATAAAGATGTTTGCTCTAAATTTTTGGTATATACCCCTTATCAGATTGAAGAATATTCCTTCTCTCCATGGTTTACTATGAATATTCCTGGTTTTCTAAGAATTTGGTTTGTTTTTAGGTTTGGTTGCTGGGTTTTATCAAATCCTTTTTATTCATTCAAAAAATTTTTTTTTCTAATATGTTAATATAGTGAACTAAAAAACAGAATATTAAACTTTCTTCACATTCTTTTTTTTTTTTT